TGCGGGCGGCGGGGCCCTGCCGCGGGGCGGCGGGGCGCATCGGGGAGGCGCGGGGGTGGCGCGGGGCTCGGGCGCGCGGCGCCGCGCAGGGCGCGGGGCGGACGATCGGGAGGGGCCGGAGGACTGTCCGGGCCCTCCTGCCCGCGGGAGGGGGAGGAGGGAGGAGGGGGAGGGGGAGGAGGAGGGGGAGGAGGAGGGGGACGAGGAGGAGGAGGAGGAGGAGGAGGAGGAGGAGGAGGAGGAGGAGGAGAAGGAGGAGGACGAGGAGGGGGAGGGGGAGGCGGAAAAGGAGGAGAAGGAGGAGGAGGAGGAAGAGGAGGAGGAGCAGGAGCTCCTGCTCCTCCTCCCCTCTGCTCCCCAGACAGCAAGGCGTCGTGACAAACAATCGGGGCGGAGGTTTTTCATTGTTTTTGTTCGGCCTCCCGGGGCCCTCGCAGGGGCTCGGGACCGTCCAAGAACAACTCGGGATGAAAAACCGGTCCCGGGGAACTGGTCGGGAGGTCGGGGGCCAGTGTCGCGGAAAAAAACGTCGGATGTCTGGGTCCCTGTCCCTTCTCCTCCCCCTTCCTCTCCTCCTCTTTCCCCTCCTCCTCCTCCTCCTCCTCCTCCTCCTTCTCCTCCACGTCCTATCCCTCTCACTCCTTCTCCTTGTCCTCCTCCTCCTCCTCCCCCTTCCCCCTCCTTTTCTGGCGTTGGGCAAACTTTGAGCGAAGTTCGTAGCGTCGCCTCCCATTCCTCCTCCTCCTCCTCCTCCTCCTCTTCCTCCTCCTCCTCCTCTTCCTCCTCCTCCTTCTCCTCCTCCTGGTCCTCCTCCTGGTCCTCCTCCTCATACATGGGCAAACCTAGACCTCCGACGATAACTGTGAGGGCACTCGATAAGGAAGCATCGGATAAGCAACCGAGGGTCTGGAAACCTGCTGGAGCAGCAATGAAAGCTTGGCCACGGATATCACTGCCGCCCTCATCAGATAAGGAATCCTCCAGTGTAACGAGCCTCCCGAGCACATCCCTTAACCAACGCCCTCACCAGATGGCCGAACGTAGACCTTCGATGAGAAGTAGCCTGCCGACGGACCTAACCATATGCAGTTGTGAATACCGTCGTTGATTCGGTGGATCTCCCTATGGGGCCATGGGGCGCGTAAAGGGTGTGCCGAAATGAGGCGGGGCCGCCATGCGGGCGCTGCCACTGGGGCTTTCGAGCATCGCGAGGACATGGAACGAAGGAGGAGGGCCAGCAACAGGGGCCACTGGGGACATCGGTGGAACTCCCTACAGGGGCCACGAAACGTGTGAGAAGTTCGCCGGAACAGGGGGTGCAACCGCATGCGGGCGCTGCAACTGGGACCTCCTATGGGGCCACGGTGCGCGTGTGGTGCAGCGAAAGGGGGGTGGAACTGAGTTGAGCGCTGCCACTGGGGCCTTTGGTGGAGCTCCCTATGGGGCCACGAAATGTGTGAGCGGAGCAGCGAAAGCATGGTGGAACCGCATGCTGGCGCTGCCACTGGGGCAGTCGGTGGAGCTCCTCATGGGGCCACGAAACGTGTGATGTGGTTCGCCGAAATGGAGGGTGGATATGCGGGCGCTACCGCTAAAACCTTCGGTGGAGCTCCCTATGGGGCCACGAATCGTGTGAGGAGTGCGCCGAAATTGAAGGTGGAGCCGCATGCGGGCGATGCCACTGGGGCCTTCGGTTGAGCTTCGTATGGGGCCACGAAACGTGCATGGGGGGGGGGGGGGGGGAAATGTGGGGTAGGACGGCATACGATTCCTGCACCGGGGGCCTT